CTCTCTGGATCAGAGACAGACCACTGAGTACTCTTTATACACTGAAGAGAAAGCATCAATGCTTATAGCACAGAACAGCAAATATTCATCCACAGATATGACTTCCCTCAATAAATGTATACTATTAATGAATATTAAACTACAAATAAGAAATCAAAGTCACCCACCAGTATTTTATCCAGCTGCATTTGTCTAGTAGGGTTTGTTTTATGGAGTATGCGATACTGATTTTCATTACATATATATTTATAGTCGTTTGTGGTGGATTGCTCCAATTACTAATATGTAGTTATCTTTACTTTTCCTGACTTTGCCTGGATATCTGCTTTGTTAGGTAGGAGCATAGCTTTTGGAGTCTGTTTGCTTAAAATGCCGTTTTCCATCCTTGCACTTTCAGTCTCCATATACGTTGCCAGCTGGTTGAGTTTCCTGCTGCAATAAACAGTTGGTTATTGTTTCCTGCTTTCAATTCAGCCTGCCAGGTGCATCTTTTACTCCAGAATCGAGACCAGTTATATTTAGCTTATTGTTGAATTTTTTTTTTTTTTTTTGTTATTTTGAGACAGAGTTTCTCTGTGTAGCTTTGCGCCTTTCCTGGATCTCACTCTATAGACCAGGCTGGCCTCGAACTCACAGAGATCCGCCTGCCTCTGCCTCCCGAGTGCTGGGATTAAAGGTGTGCGCCACCACTGCCCGGTGTGTTGAAATGTTTGTACTGAATGAAATCCTGTAATTTAGCAGGCTTCTGTTTATCTTTCGATTTTCCTTTTTGGCTTTAATTGCTGTGTGTTCATTTCTTTCTCTCTCATCTTAGAAGTTTGCTGACTCACTGGCAGTTTGCTTTTTACTGATGTGATAAAACATCATAACCAAAAGCTACTGGGGCAGGAAAAGGTTTATTTGGCTTAAACTTCCACATCACAATCCATCCCTGAAGGAAGCCAAGGCAGAAACTCAGGCAGGAACTGAATCAGAGACACTGGAGGAACACATCTTACTAGTTGCTCCTCATGGCTTGCTCAGCCTGTTATCTTAAACATCCCAGGACCAGAAAGTGGTCTAGACCCTCCCACATCAATCATCAATCAAGAAAATGCCCCACAGACTTGCCAATCTGATGGAGGCAATTCCTCAGCTGAGGATTCTTCCTCCCAGATGACTCCAGCTTGGGTCAAGTTGACAAAAAGCTAACCAGCACACTGTAGCTAGAGTTTTCCTGCCTGGCCCACAGTCAGGACAAATCTCTCTCACCTGCCAGTCCCACAGCCTCTCAGACCCAACCAAGTAAACACAAAGACTTATATTGGTTACAAACTGTATGGCCGTGGCAGGCTTCTTGCTAACTGTTCTTACAGCTTAAATTAATCCATTTCCATAAGTCTACACCTTGCCACGTGGCTTGTGGCTTACCGGAGTCTTCTCATGCTGTTTCTCATCATGGCAGCTGGCAGTGTCTCCCTCACCCAGCTTCCTGTTCTCTCAATTCTCCTCTCTGTTAGTCCCTCCTATACTTCCTGCCTAGCCAATGGCCAATCAGTATTTTATTTATTGACCAATCAGCAACACATTTGCCATACAGAACATCCCACAGCAGCACACTTACTGAGTCAGCACTGCTGATTCCTGAGAACTACAGGAGTTATTTTCTCCTGAGCTCTTCGGATTGTAGCTTTCTGTCTTCTTCCTTTGTGATTTTATTTTCCTGGGAGTGTCTTCCTCACGGCAGCCTCAGTGGTCAGCATTGCTTTAGTTATGTTCATCCTGAAGGTCTTTACAAAGGACAGATTTGCTGTAGTCACATTGGTTGTCAGTTCTTTTCTTTGAGTGCTCAGAATACATAGGTCCACACTCTGGCCTTTAGCAGTTCTGTCAAGGACTGTGCTGTTGTTCTGACTGGTTTGCCAATCACGTACGTTGTTAGTAACTTGGCTCTTCTCTTAGTAGCTCCAGCATTCTTTTCTTGTTCTGAACTCTCTGAATTTTACCAAGAGTGTAATATGACAAGATTATTTTCTGGTCAATCTATGTGGTGGTCTAAATTACCTCTGTACCTGGACATCCTAATCTTTCAATATATACAGAGTATTTTAGGATATTGCTTTAATGACCAGGTTTTCTGTGTCTTTACTCTGTATTTCACATTCTATTCTAGTAAAAACAGGGTCTGTCTGTCATGTCCTGGAGGCCATCACAAGTTTTTCTTTATTCTTTCTGAATGCGGTAATTCATTAACCTTGTCTTTGATGCCCTGGTATTTTTATCTTTCAGTTAATTTAGTCTGTTGGTTCTTTCTCCTGAATTAAAAAAAATTTATGTGTAAACATTTCCAAAATTTCCATCAAAAAATTCCCTCTTCATTTATTACTTGTATCCTATATTGTTTTGCTTATTTCCTTCCGTTGTCCCTTTTTGAAGTTGCAATCCTTTCTAAGTTAACCTTCTGAATGATTTCATCATCACTCTACCTAATCGAGTATGTTTAGATTCAATTGCTGACAACTTATAATCTTTTGAGGAAGTGGTATAACCTAGTTTTCTCACATCCTTGTGTTTTGTTGTGGGTGGTGCACCTGTGGAGTGAATATGTTTTACACATTGATGTGAGGATGCACACAGTAAGAATTCATCTGCCAAGAGCTTAATCCTCAGCACTGGTCAGGATGGAGAAAATGAACCTCAGTAACAATGATATCAGAGGCAACTTTCTCACAGTTATCATAATGGACATAATGAAAGTAATGGGTAAAACTAATATAAAAATGAAATTAGAAACTAATAAAGGTAAAACAACACTAACAAAATCGTTGAATAAAGGATGTGTAGAAAGAAAGGTTAGAAAAAAGAAAAGGAGCAGAAGAGAAAAGAGCAAGAGATTAAAAAGAATATGGTTACAAAGTTTAAAACATGTGAATAAAATAGATAAACTGCAGGTCTACCATCCTGACACTTGGAAGGTGAGGCAGGAGGATTAGAAATTTGTGGCAAGTCTGAACCATCCAAGGAGACCCTGCCTCATAGTCAACAACAGTAAGATTAAGGAAACACAAGACAAGGATTTTTTAAAGATTAAACACTTTTTAAATCTTAAAAGTAATATACTATATGAAAATTACACATAACATTTTAGTATCTGGAAGACAGAGACCTGGACGAGCCTCTCTCTTGATGCTCTCATAGAATTTGCCAGGTCTGGGGCATCGGGGTCATACTTGGTGTGTGCCGTCCCTCTCTGCTGCTGCCTTCCCGGCTGGTGCTGTACACAGGACACAGGTGCCTTAAGTACAGAGCATCATTCACTCTAAGACTGCCTGTCTTTGTATGTTCTTTGTCACTGCTAGTCCCAGAGGTCATGTGGCCTGTAGTCCAGGTAGACACTTCCGTTTGTGGGTTTGTCTAAACAAAACTTGTCTCCAGAAGGCTTTGGGGGAAGTGGGGTTGAAAACAGAGAATGAAGTTATGCAATGGAGAGAAGTTCTGGGAGCTGAGCTGTGTGCCTAAGCATTTTCAGATCCTATCCAGCAGCAAACCACCATGCAATAAGGAAGAAGCTGTGGAAATTGAATAATCCTTTCAATCAGGTTCCAAGTTCTCAGCCTGTTTGCTGCACACAAATTGCAGCATGAGGCAGTTTCACAAACCAAAAGATCTTCCACCCACCTACTCAGAACTCTCAGGCTCAGCAGTCATCTACAGGAGCCATGTCATTCCCAGTACAGGAGTCAGGGCTGCCTGTCCTCAGGCCTCCACAGCCTGAGCCAGGAGTGTGTCTGTCAGTCACTCTCACATGCACTACTGTCTCTCATGGCTGCCCACCACCCAGCGCATCCCAGGGCACCACGACATGTGCTTGATGGTTTTGGATCCCCACCACAGCTCAAACTCAGAGGATAGAAGCTCCTAGTTCTAGCACTGTGAGAGACTGAGTGTGCAGAGCTCAGGCTGTGCCCATCTGTGTTCCTTTGTATTGTATAGGACAGTAGTTTTCAGAGTGTGCCTTGTCCTGGGTGACTCCATTTTATACAGCAGTGGTTTGCTTCATTTTGAAAGCAAATGCTGAGGCAAAATGACTCTGTACCTTATGTGTACAAGTGCCCAGCACAGACAGTAAGATATAGATTAATAAATAACTTATTAATACAAATAAATTATTTCTACCTATAAACATATCAAGCCAGGAACACATAGGCCCATGATATTTGAAAACCTTGCACAAGAAACCAAGCTTGTGTGCATGTCCAGAACACCAGAGCAATGAGCGCTGTCATGCCCTCACTTGGGTCACACCCACTGAGCCATCATTAGGCCACCTGATGTGTGCATCACTAGACACAAGGTAACAGACTCTCAACTCTGACCCCAGGACTTCTGTTTACCATGATCCGTCCTAAGTGAAGTGGCTCACTGAGCTCCCATTTGTTCAGACCCCTTACGCCTGGAGTCAGCTCTGTGCTTTGGAGCAATCTGTCCCTGAACCATCTCTGTATCTTGAACTGACATGTGCCGTGAATCAACTGTGTATTTTGGCCACCCTGTTCCAGAAGAGCTCTCTCTGCATGTGTATCTGCTATGTGATTTTGTCTTCCACAAATCCACATGTCTGCACACCTGTGCATGTGCACACACCCAAACACAGAGGAGATGTGGTAATGGTGGTCATGTATTCTACCTCTGAACTTATATAATATCATAATATGATTTTGAAGTAAGACAAATCTACCACATCATCTGTCCCTTTCTTCCTTTATGAATTATGAATAACATTTATACTCTGTTCATTAGGGCTCATTTGTTTACTAGGAATTTGGTACCTAAGGGGAGTATCTGTACTCAGATATGTCTGCTTCTCATTGGATCCTTAGGTAATCACAGCCATATAGAGCATTCATCAGGAAGGAATCAGCCTATGACTATACAGTCTAAAACAATCCTAAAGTGTGCTGTGCTGTGTAATAATGTTGTTTGTGTGGACCATCAACTCACTATTGCTGTTCCTTCTACAGGAAGGAAGAACCTCTGGAGATGTCTTCCAATAATGACCCTGTTACAATCCCGATGATAGAAAGAAATCCCAGTGACCTTCCTGGAATGGACACCAGTGACCCGAGCACATTGACTGGAGAGGTTGTGTTGAGTTTTCATAACATCAGCTATGGAGAAACTGTGCAGAGTGGCTTTCCATTTCGTAAAAAAACAGAAGTGATAAGAAGACTATCTAATATCAAGTATGTGCATGAACTAAAGATATCAGCATATTTTATAACTTTTTCAACAAGTTGTCTATTATCATAAGCTGTGTGTGTATGCGCACGTGTATGTGTTTGTGTGTGTTCAGTGTATATCTCTGTTTAGTGTGTGTTTAAGTGTATGTCCTTATATCTGTTCACATGTGTGTATAAGTGTATGTGTGTATATTCAGTGTATATCTCTGTTTAGTGTGTGTTTAAGTGTATGTGTGTTCATGTATATATCTGTTCACATATGTGTATAAGTGTATGCGTGAGTATGTGCTCACATGTGCAGATGTGAGGACACTATGACACACCCATGGCACAAGGCCATCACAGGACAACCTTGAGCACTGGTCTTCACCTTCTACCATGTTGCAGACAGAGTCTCTCACTGTTCACTGCTGGGTATGCCAGGCTAGCAGCCTTCAAGTGTCCTGGGATTCTCCTGTCTGTCTCCATCTCTCTATAGAGCATGGAGTTATGGGTGCCCACTACTGCACCCAAGGTCATGTGAATTCCGGATGTTGAACTTAGGTCCCCCTCACACAGCAAATGCTTCACACATTGAAACATCCCCCAGCCTCAGCTTGTCATACATACAGATAGACTCATGATCACAGTGAAATTAATGAGATGGAGACTAAAAGAACAACTTATTAGATTAATGACACAAAAATTTGGTTCTTTGAAAACACAAACAAGCTTGACAATCCCTTAGACATATTACACACAAAAAAAACCCCTGGGAAATGATTTTAACTCAATAAAATTAAGGATGAAAACACAATACCAAAGACACTATTAAAATCAACATATGATGAGGGAATATTGAAGATTTAATACCTAGAAATTTGAATATATAAAAGAACTGTATACGTGTCTGTACGCAATGCACTCTCATAACTGAACTGAGAGTTTCTAACAGGCTGTCTGGGTCAGTTACAAGTGATGAGATGGAAGCAATGAGGAAGTCCCAACAGCAGAAAGTCCGGGTCCTCGTGTATTTGCTCAAAATTCATTAAGAGCTAAGAAGAGCTAAAACCAACATTCCACACATTGTTCCATAACACGGAGAAGGCTTGCTTCTGACCAAATTCTGAGGACAGAGCACACATACCAAGATTTCCCCGCTCTGTCTGTATAGACTCTTCCTCCCAACCCCAACCATGGCCTCTGTTGTTGGGCACTGGTCATTTCTGCTCCTCCACCAGAACTTCCATCATTTTCTTACTAAGAGGAGAATGGGCAGGGCAAAGGATTGACACACTGTCTGGATATGAAATATTAAGAAATAGGAACATACCTAAGTTTTCTATAAGAATATGCCTTTTTCAATCTGGATATTCACTCCTGTGAATAAATCCATTTTCTGACATCTATTTGTGCTATACCTATACATCAATGAAGAATGTCCTCTATTTGAGGGATATCTCCCAGTTCTAAACTGAGAGTATTCTAATTACTTTATCAGGAAAGGAAGTCATCATTTTGTGGTTTTGTTGTTTTCCTATTTCCTATTTCCAAAATCGCTTTCCTATTTTGATTAAGGTGTGATTTGTTTTGTTTTGAATGTTAAACTTGGCAATGCTCTCCTGTCCTCTAGAAAGCTTCCTTTTAGTCTTTGGATTTCTATTTACAATGCACTGATTTTAGTTTGACCCTATTTTAATAGTAATGACACTGCTATTGATATCCCATGAATCATTGGTTTGTTGTGATGAGGTTTAGGAGGCAGCAAGCAGGGCTATATGAAGAGACTGATCATCAAACATGAACAAGAAGCTGTTGTGTACTTGACACATAAAGGCCATATGTGTAATTGAGTCTTCATGAGAACCTGCTACTTGCTTCAAGGAACACTGAACTTAGATGCACCATGTTTTAAAAAAGAGAAGTCCTTTAAATAATAAACAAAATGTATTTTGTGATATCTGAGGCATTTTCCTCATGAGTCTCCACTAGCATTTAACACCTTTCAAAAATAATAGACTTGTATTAATATTTAAATTTTTTCCTTTGAGTTTGTACTTATGTGTACAATTCCATCCACTTTCAATAGAATATTCAGTATAGATACTAAGTTAATATAACTTCTTTTAAATAGAAAATCAACCAGTATGATTTTGTGTTTACAGTGGGATCATGAGACCTGGCCTCAATGCCATCATGGGACCGGAAGATGGGAGCCGATCTTGGTGAGTATAACAGAAAGCACGTGTGAGCCCTTTGTATCCAGTTTCTGTGCTGTAAAATCACTTCCACAGGGGTTATTTATGTATTGTGTGAGTATATCTATGAGTATATATATATATATATATATGAGTATATATATATATATATGAGTATATATATATATATATATATATATATATATATATATATATATGAGTATATATATATATATATATGAGTCTGGTCCCATGTGCTGTGGATACTGTGCAGGAGGGTGCATTCAATTTTCTACCAAGAACAGAAAGTCTTACTAGGTCCACTTTACTGATAGGAAATGATACAGTGATTGTATATGGTATTGGATCATATTATTATTTCATGTGAAGGAGATAGAATTAAAATTAGAAAGATGAAGCAAAGTTTTCTGGGAACAAGAAATCATCACTAGGCCTAATTCTCAAAATACAATAGCACATTATGAGTTTGATTCCCCAAGGTCAGATTGCAGGGAGGGATGGTCATGTGGTCTGGGCTGTATTAGAGCACATAATGAGCTGAAAGCAGTGTGTGTGTGTGTGTGTGTGTGTGTGTGTGTGTGTGTGTGTGTGTGTGTGTGTGTGTCTGTGTGTGTGAGTCTGTGTGTGTGTGTCTGTGTCTGTGTGTGTTTTCAGTTAAACTTATGATATGCAGAATTTTTATTTTTTGAGTTGCTAAAAGGTGATAGGTTTTACTGAAGGGAGAAAGTAAACTATACAACATATATAACCCGTTGTAGGTTATTGGATGTCTTAGCTGCAAGGAAAGATCCACGTGGATTATCAGGAGATATTTTGATAAATGGAAAACCTCGACCTGCTAATTTCAAATGTACTTCTAGTTATGTACCACAAGTAAGTGTTGGTGGGTTTGTAATTTTAGATTTCCCCTTCTTCTGTATGGGTAGATGCTCAGCTTATAGATTTGTGTGTTTCCAATTAATTATATGACACAATACAGGGCCAACTTTCTCTCCACCAGCTTTTCCTAGTGACTCATTAGCCTGAGGTTGGCATTATTAAATAGGAGGATGGGGAGGGATTGGAGTCTGACAGCTGTGGTACAGCATTAGTAACTGCAGCTGGGATTTAATTCTACAAAGACTGCTGTTGTCTGACTTTGCCATTCCTTCATCTTTTTCCACTGCATAGAAGATGTTTTCTGCAAATAATTGCAGGTAGCAGTCACCTAAATCTCTTGGGAGGCAAATGGGAGGGGGGCGTGAAATGATTTCTTCAGGCTCTGGACTTGAGATTAGTAACACTGAAAGCTTATTTTTCAGTAGAGTATTACATTGTATGTGGTTTATATGAGGGTTAGGTTACATTTGTTGGAATGATTGTCTTTGTGATAACTATATTTAATTGAAATACTATTTAACCTTAAGAATGATGTGGTGATGCAAACGGTGACTGTGAGAGACAATATAATGTTCTCAGCGGCTCTTCGACTCCCAATAACTGTAACAAAAGATGAAAGAAGAAGGCGAATTAAGGAGGTCCTTGAACTTCTGCATCTGGATAAAGTGGCAAATGTCAAGGTAATGTGAAGAAAAATCTTGAAAGATTCAGAGCCAAAAAAAAAAAAAAAAAAATCCCGGTGTTGATAATATGACCCTCCATTATCAGTTTCCTCTAATGTGTGTGGTCCAGGCGGCTGCTCTCTGTATTAATGAGTAAGTGACTGGTTACATGATGCAAAGTGGAGATTGAGCTGGGAAGCCTTCTTAGCAATGGTTAAACCTGGGAATGGAGTATGATCCAGAAGGGAAGTGTTCCTCACATGGCCATTTCCAAGATTCCTCACATGAGCCTCCTCTTACTCAGACTTAAACTCTTGACTCATGGAGAATCTGACAAGGGCTTTCTTCTGTTTATTGTCTCTTCCCTGAGGACTTGTCCCTTTGCTGTTTCAGAATGTTTTCTGGACTGACATATGACCTGGGATTGAGGACTCTGGCTCTGTGTTTCACTCTGCATTTATTTCCTCCAGGGTTGTACCTGGTCTCTTTAGCATTTACTTCTGACTTGTTCAGTGCTTGTTATTTTCTGTAGCCTTTCTGTGTTTTTATCCCATCCTGTCTGTGTTGGCTAGTGTCAACTGTCACCTTGACACAGTCTGGAGCCACCTGGAATCATCTAGAAGAGAGTCTCAATGAGGAATTGTAGTCAGTTGTCTTGTGGGCATTTCTGAGGTGACTGTCTTGATTGAGTTAAGTGATGTGGAAAGACCCAGCCCACTCAGACAGCACCATTCTTTGTGTTTGGGTCCTGGGTGTCATGAGAATGGGGAAAGTGAGCGGAACACTGACAGGCTTGCATGCATTCATCCTCTCTGTGCTCTTGACTGGCTGTAACCAGCTGCATCAGCTTCCTGCCTGGACTTCCCTGCAATGGTTGACTGTACTTTTAAATTTTATGCTGAAATAAACCTTTCACTCCTTGTTTACTTTTTTCAAGATTGTTTTATCTTTGTAACTGGATGGAAATCTAGGATTTCCTTTTGCCCCTGCTCCCTCCTTCCTTATCTTCTGTTAATATTTTTTTTCCCAGCTCCTGTGTTAGGCTTTAATGATAGAAACTTGAGCAAGAGCAACAGAGTGGACCTGGTGACTCCTGTGAGGATTTGTGCAGGATCAGGAGGGGTAATAGATAAGTGGTGAACTTCATAGCTAACTAGTTTCTTACTAACATATTTTAAAAGACTATTATGTAATAGTTCATTCCTAAATACTTAATTATTCTTAATCTTTAACAATTACATTCTTAACTATCAAAATGAATAAAATCCTTATATCCTCAGTGTGTCAGGTCTATAACCATTTGCAGTCCCCAAATCTTTGTGATTACATTGTTTACAGAACTTGATCAGGCATTTAATTTATTTTATGACTAGAGTTTTTCAACATTAGGGTTTTTTCCCTCTTATGTCCTCCAAACCATTCTGTCTCTCACAGCGACATCAATTCACTAAGAAGATTATACATATGTATCTGCTGAGCAGACATTTGGTGGTATGGATGGAAATGGGTTCCCCAGGATATGATTCTCATGAGCTAACTCCTGTGGTGACTCCTCCTTAGAGGCAGTGAGGAACAGGAAGGTACCAGCTGTTGATTCCCACAATACTTCTCCACAGTCGTTGATGAGATGTTGTTTGTCTTGATGGGATGAATAATAAAAAAGCTCACATTCACCATGCTTTCTCTTTTTCCTGAGTGGCGGAATTTTGTTTGCTTTGGCTCTGTTTATTTACATAGTTTTATCTCTACAATAAAACTTCTTTCTTTTGTTTTGTTTTTAACAATAATTAGTCATTGCCCTAAGTTGTTCACTTGTTTTTAGGGGCAACATATGAAGATATTTATTAACTTCTTGAAGTTATGAAATATAATATACTGCAAGAATTTTAATATACTTTTTATGATTGCTTTAAAAAATGTGTATGTGTGTATGCCTGCATTCATGTGTGTGTGCATGTGTGTGTGTGTGTGTGTGTGTATGTGTGTGTGTGTGTGTGTGTGTGTGTGTGTGTGTGTGTGTATGTGTCCAATTGAATGCCATAGCATGTGGGGCGTTTACCCAACCACCCCCACAGCTCCCCAGAGTTTTCTTGAGTGTGAGCAGCAGGAAATATTAGATAGAAGGATTTATTGCGGAGAATATCGCGGAGATAAACAGATAGAAAATAAAGGATAGCCTCGAGAGGGCCTGGAACCTATTCCAACGGCCCCGACTGTCTCTGCCCCAGGGTCTTTATAGAGACGCCAAGGGGTGGAGCAAAAGACCTCCTCCCCCAGCACAGCCAAGTGCAGACCATCCCAGACACCTGCACTTAGGCCCATGGTCCTAATCATCCTCTATGTGGACCTGCTGGGTAAAGCCATGAGGAACCCAAGAACGGGCTCCCACAATAGCACACACATGAAAGTCATAGTACATCTTTGTCAGGTGTCCATTCTCTCTTCCATCCTTGTTTATAAGGCAGGGTCTGTCTCATTCTGCTGATGGCCTTCACACTTGCCCAGTGCTCCTGATCCACCTCCCATCTCACTGTAATTACATCTTGATGGAATTATAGATGCATTCCACTGCATATAGCTTTATATGTGAGTTCCAGGGAATGAACCTAGGCTTCAGGCATGTGTGGCAAGTGAATTTTCCCTGCTAAGACTTCTCTTTGGCCTTTCATAAGATTTTGATTTAAGAAATGTAGAGGCAATAGGTCATTACTCCAAAAGTTTGACTGTTATATAGCCCGCACTATAGTACAGTGCTAATACCAGCCTCCTGGGCCCATGAGTGTTTACAACATCACGCTCACTAAAGCTGTTTCTCACGGCGGCATTATAAAAGAACATTAGGGAGTATCTTCCTCCTGAGTACTTAATGACTTTTCATCTATAAAAATAAGGACATCTGCTTACCTATAAACTCTATTCTTTTTTTCTTTTTGTTTTTTCGAGACAGGGTTTCTCTGTGTAGCTTTGCGCAAACTCTATTCTCAATTATCAAAATATTTGTGTGTGTGTGCACTTGTGTGTTCACATGCCAGTGTGTGTGTATGTGATTGTGTGTTGTGTAGAGTGCCTTTCTTGTGTGTGTCCTGTGTGTGTTGGGAGGGTGTTAAATGACTACTAAATTATTAGAGATACTTCATCTTCTCCTGTCCCGTCTTCCTCGTTCCTTCAACAGAGATCTCACTGTGCCAGTCTTGGAGTGTGATAACTCATTACCCTAGAACATGTGACTTGATAAAGAACAAACAGTAACTGTCATTATCATGGGCTTCATATCAAGTCTGGCCTGAGCCTCTTTCTACTCACTTGGTAAAAGAGAAATGTCCTTCTTCTCCCAGGTGCCCATATTTTGCTCCTCAGGATAAAGACATAACAAAACCTTTTATTGCTATAACAGGTGAGTTCACCAAATGACAATGACTGTGGTTGTTCTTGTTGATAATGATGGTCATTGGTGTTCTAGCCTAGATCTAAGGAGCTCAGGAAAAGGACCAGTATAGCAATGGAGCTGGTTGCCCAGCATCCCATTCTGTTCTTGGATGATCCCACCACTGGATTAGACTTGAGGACTACAACAGATGTCATCTCGGTCCTGAGAAGGTAAGTGCTGAAGGAACATTAAGGTTTATTCACTTAATACCTGGTCACTTGTGTGTATTTTTGGTGCAGGAGATTCAAAAGTAAGCATCAGAATTTCTTCCTTGATTGTTAGAGGGAAACTTCAATTAACAAGGAACACACATCAAGGCAATGAGACAAGAGCATAGGGAAAGATGGCTGTGGAGAAGGTGGAGCACTGCTTTAAATAAGTGTCACCATAACCCGCAAGCATGTGACAAGTGAGCTGAGGATGAGTGCGTGAGATCTGAACAGAGTGCTGTACAGAGAGGAAATGCATTTGTTCTGAAGCAAAGCATGTTTGTTGTGTCTGGAACATTAAATAGAACTAGTTGACAAGAACCCAGTGTCCTGAGGTGATGGAAAGTTGCTAATGAACTGCTGAAGACAGATTGAGTGACTTGACAGTAGTTATATTTCTTACAGTTCTCAATCCTGGGAGCCAGATATTGAAGTATCCACAGGCTGTGTCTCCTGAGGCCTCGGTCACTGAGTTGTGGATGGTGTCTCTTTCCTCTTCATGTGTCTATGCCCTGATCTCTTAAATGAACACCAGTTACATTAGAACATACTAGTAATTTCATTTAAACTTAATCACCTTTTAAAAGACTCTCTCTCCAATTATAGTCACACTATAAGTTCTTAGATATGAAGTCTTCTACAAATGAGTCTTTGGAAGGACATAATTCAGCCCTCCACATTCATAGTTGAGGTGAGGCAGGTTGGTTGGAATGAATGTAGATTGCCTGGACCACCTGGGCCACTGTAAGGACTAAGGTTTCCATGGCAGGGGATGTGGGGAGGCTTCTGTGTTTAGAGCAGAGCATGCATCATGGAGATGGTTGTACAGTTGCACTATGTTGATGTAAAGATATCAGCAGGAGGCTGATGTGTGGGTGTTTCTTAGGTAGAAAATGGTTGGTTCTGAGGTGATTTGAAGTTGGAATATATAGCATTGTCTCTGAGATTAGCCCTGGATGTGGTGGCTGAGGGAATGATTACAAGGTCTGGGTCCTGAACCTGGAGAATACTGAAATAAAAGAAATGGCATTTTCTTTTCTCAAGAAAGAAGTCTATGGTTGAAACCTGCTGTGGGATGTTCTGTACACTGTGAATGTGTTGCTCTGATTGGTCGATAAATAAAATGCTGATTGGCCAGTAGCCAGGTAGGAAGTATAGTATAGGCAGGACAAGCAGAGAGGAGAGAATTCAGGGATGTGGAAGGCTGAGTCAGGAGCCGCTTCCAGCGCTGCCATGAAAAACAAGATGTAAAGTACTGGTAAGCCACAAGCCATGTGGCAACTTATAGATTAATAGAAGGGGGTTAATTTAAGATATAAGAACTAGGTAGCAAGAAGCCTGCCACGGCCATACAGTTTATAAGTAATATAAGTCTCTGTGTGTTTACCTTGGTCTGAGCAGCTGCAAGAGCCTGGTGGACACAGGAATATATCAACTACAAATAGGAATACATCAGCTACAAATGGTGCCCAATTATAATTTTCCTTGGTTATGATAAAAAATAAATTAGATAATGAAACTTTAGACTCACAAATATAGGATAGATAGAATATTTTCTTTAATTTTGCCAAATACAAATAGACTAGATATTCTTGCTTGATAACTGTTCTATTATATGTAATTTTACTACGTTAAAATTAAAACCTTCCTTTTGATTAGACAGAAAAGGTAGGTGCTGTGGTGTAGCATGAATCTTAAAAGGTCTTATTAATTAAAACAAATCTGAAGCCAGGTATTGGGGTGAATGCTGGAAGATCAGAGAAGCAGAACCAGCCACAGTCACCTCACCTCGCCAGTTCCTCAGCTGATCCTGTTTCCTCAGACTGGAATCCTCTGAGTCCTCATCCAGAATGAATCTCAGTTGAACTGTTGCTTGAAAGCCTGAAGTTTAACCAGCTAAAAGCTTCTAGATTCTGCTCCTCATGCCTTATATACCTTTCTGCTTTCTACCATCACTCCTTGGGATTAAAGGCTCTTGTTACCATGCCTAGCTGTTTCCAGTATGGCCTTGAACTCACAGAGATCCAAATGAATCTCTGCCTCCCAAGTGATAGGATTAAAGGCATGTGTGCCACCATTTTCTGGCCTCTATGTCTATCTAGTGGCTGTTCTTTTCTCTGACCCCAGATAAGTTTATTAGGATGCACACTATTTTGGGGAACACAATACCACCACACTGTGGAATGTTCTGTATGCTGTGAATATGTTGCTCTGATTGGTTGATAAATAAAACGCTAATTGGCCAGTAGCCAGGCAGGAAGTATAGGCAGAACAAGCAGAGAGGAGAATTCTAGGAAGTGGAAGCCTGAGTCAGGAGACACTGCCAGCCACCACCATGAGAAGTAAGATGTAAAGTATCAGTAAGCCTCAAGCCATGTGGCAACTTATAGACTAATAGAAATGGGTTAATTTAAGATATAAGAACTAGATAGCAAGAAGCCTGAGCCATTAGGCCAAACAGTTTAAATAATATAAGTGTTTGTGTGTTTATTTGGGTCTGAGTGGCTGTGGGCCTGGGCAGGACTGGAGATACCTTTAGCTACAGAAACATTTATAGAAAAAAGTGTAAGGGTTAGATTTTATATTCTAAAAATTAGTAAGAGTTTCAGACTGACTGAATAACCCCAAGAACAATATAAGGACTGTCTAATTCCCATGACCTGGGCTCCTGGCTGTTGAACTTTACTGCACTCTCTGTCAGTCCTTCCTTCCCCTTGTTCTTTGTTTTGTTCTGACATCACGGTCCATTACCCTAAATACTCCTGCCTGTCCCTCCAAGAACCACATCATCCACCATTGCACCTTCCCGGTAAGGAAGTCAACACCTGGGGCCTTGTCACCTTCTAGTCTGTAGACTCCTCAGGTGTCACACCTTCCCTGTCTGTCCCCTCTCCTGTCTGCTTCAGGACACTCTAAGATCAAGTTCTTGTCATTTTCAGTATGGAACGCTTCTCTCTGTCCTGTGTCTCATGCCATGGCTAGTCTTAGTGCATTGCATGGGGCCATCCTAAGTGTGGTTTCTCCCAGGGTTCTGGGAGCAGACTCAGGCCCTGATATGCTGTGTTCTCCTTGGTCTCCAACACTCCTGGAAGTGCATCCTCGTGGTAGAATACTTTTTTTTAAAACTTTTTTTTTTATTGTGTGTGTTTTATGTGTGTGTTTTATGTGTGTGTGTTTTATGTGTGTGTGTTTTATGTGTGTGTTTTATGTGTGTGTGTTTTATGTGTGTGTGTTTTATGTGTGTGTTTTATGTGTGTGTGTTTTATGTGTGTGTGTTTTATGTGTGTGTTTTATGTGTGTGTGTACATGTGTGTGTGTTTTATGTGTGTGTGTTTTATGTGTGTGTTTTATGTGTGTGTGTTTTATGTGTGTGTTTTATGTGTGTGTGTTTTATGTGTGTGTGTTTTATGTGTGTGTTTTATGTGTGTGTGTACATGTGTGTGTGTTTTATGTGTGTGTGTTTTATGTGTGTGTACATGTGTGTGTACATGTATGTGTGTGTACATGTGTAGCATATCTGTAGAGGTTAGAGGACAACTCAAGGAGCTGACTTTCTCCTTCCACCATCAGGGTTCTGGGAACTGAACTTAGGTCTCTAGACTTGGCATCAAGTGTCTCTACCCAATGATCCATCTCACTTCCCTGGCTTTAATCTTGATCATCTAACCATGCTGGTGGATCTGGGTTATGTCACATGAAATTACAATTTTCCTTTTGTGATTTATTAACAGTCGGACAGGGAAAACAATCGGCTGTTATGTCATTATTCTGCTCCTTATCTTGTTGCTACCAACCAGTTGTCCTGCTGGAATTCAAGGTGTGCACTACCATGCTTAGTTCTCTCACTCTTTCTTATTCTCTCCCTCCCTCCCTCCCTCCCTCCCCCCCTCCCTCCCCCCTCCCCCCTCCCTCCCCCCTCCCCCCTCCCTCCCCCCTCCCCCTCCCTCCCCCCTCCCCCTCCCTCCCCCCTCCCCCCTCCCTCCCCCCTCCCCCCTCCCTCCCCCCTCCCTCCCCCCCTCCCTCCCCCCTCCCTCCCTTTCTCCCTCTCTTCTTTTTTCTGTTTGTCTTAATGAAACAGGGTCTCATGTAATCTAGGTGGATGTGGAACTTCTGATCCTCCCAAGTGCTGGGGTATTACAGATATGCCACCATACTCACCTTTAAAAATAAACATAAATTCTTTATTGATTCTTTGGGATTTTCATATCATGCGCCAATCCCACCCAACTCCCAGTCTGTTCCCCCATAGCATCCACACTTCACCCTCATAGCATCCGCCAAAGGAAAGTTTAAAAAAAATAAAAAATAAAAAAGTAAAAATATTAATTAAAAATTAAACAAACAATACAATATAAAAGCAAGACAGCAACAACTGAAACAACAGAATAAAAGAAACAAAAACAAACACTTCACTCCTGTCTCTCCCCCTCCCCATCTCCTCTTCATTTGTATTAGTGGCACTGGGAGCTGCAGCACGTCATGGAGTAGACCCTTCTGTCCAAACAGCTTTACTTGTATAACCAGTTGTTGGTGAGGTTCAAGGCCTCTGGCTTCTGGTACACCATCAATGCAGGACCCTCAGTGAAACTCCTCTGGGATGTCCTGCTGCTACCCTGAGTCATGGAGATCCTGCAGCTATGGATCTGCAGGATCAGTCCCTACATGTGCTACAGCAGGTCACAGATGGGGTAGATGTTGGGTTGGGCAAACTCAAAGCCCTGGATGTGTGCCTGGGTGGTAGCTGAGTTGATCAGTCCAGGCCAGATGTGCCACCATACCCACCTTTTATAAACATATTTTCAAAGACTTTTAAACAGTATTTTGGGTTATTGTTTCTCCTTACAGAAGATATGACTCTCTGAAATGATAGTTCAGCTTACTTTTTCCTATCATAGAATTAAACCAATGATCAAATCCCAGCTTGGCAACTCACTAACTGACCCCTTGGCATGTTGCTGGACCTTTTAAGCCTTATCAACAGGAAGGGGGGAATTTTATTAGACATGCCTTATGCCGATATTGTGAAAATTGAGATGAGGTTCTTGCTGAAGCAGGGAGAACAAGTCGTTAATAATGAGAATTACAGTATCAGAACAATGAAACCCAGTTCCTGAAGAGGCAGAAAGTGTAAACGGTTGAAGGGAATTGTGAATACACTCATAGTTGTAATCTTTGCTCTGTCAGGCGTTCCCAGGCTTGAGTGAACCTGCCCATCACCCTAGTTGTCTGTTCATGATATGGACTCCTTGCACTGACTCCCTGATATTGTGATTCAGTGTCTGAGAAGACTGTGCAGGGGTCTACATAGTTAGTGGTCCCTGGACTACCGATGTCCTACACTTTAGAAGTCCTAGTTTTTTAAATAAAAGCCTGGAGCTTTGTTTCTTTATCTGTGGTGATATTTTATTTGTATGTTAATAAAGTTTGCCTGGTGATCAGAGGTCATAGCCATAAACAGAAGTCAGGTGGTGGCAAACAGAGTCTCTGTGTGGTCAAGGACACAGCCAAGCATGGTGACACGTGCCTTTAATCCCAGCACCAACCATAGAGACCTGGAGGTCTGTATAGACAGGCAGTGATGAGGAAGTCTTGTGGCTGGGCTTAGAGCCAATGAGAAGGCAGAACAGGAAGGCAATAAAAGCACAGATTAGGCAGGAAGAAGCTCTCTCTGTGGAAGCTACTGCTGGTGGTAAGCTAAGGCTAGTCGTGGTTATTTGTTCTGATCTCTTTGGCTATTACCCCTGTATTTAGCTCTGTGTTTCTTATTTAATAAGACTGTTTAAAAATTCATCTACATCTATCAAGTGCATATGCAAGTGAGAGGAAGTGTTTTTAAGAAAAACTCAAGCTGAAATGGGAACAGGGAGTATACCTTCAGGAATAAAATACTTTGTTGAGAATTTCAAGTTTTCGATGTTCCAGTGACTTATGATTTTTCCCTCTTTAAACTTAGGATGTCTATGAGGGGACGGACAATCATCTTCTCCATTAATCAGGCTCAGTACTCCATCTTCAGATTTTTTGATAGCCTCACCTTAGTGGCCTCAGGAAAAGTCATGTATCACGGGCCTGCACAAGAGGCGCTGGAGTACTTCACATCCGCAGGTATGGCTGGCTTTTGCTGTGAGAACTCCTTCATTCTTGGGATCTGGGGAGAGAACAGGGCTTCCCAGGAGTACTGCTTGACCTTCCTGCAGACTTACTGTGTGTTTGTTTCTCCATTTTAAATACCTTTGGTTAATTTGGTGACAGGATTCTGTTAGTTGTGCAGCAGAGGCTTGTTGTTCAGGTCTCTTTTCTTTCTGCTGTCCTGTGTCATGCCTGTGTTACAGTATTTTTCCTGAGCTTCTTGTTCTGCATCCAGTTGTGGTGACCCTCTTAATTAACATGCTGGCCTCAAGTCTGGTTATCTGTCATTGGAACAGCTTTGGAAAGCCCAGCATCATCGTGTTCGTGCTCACTTAACACATGGTGGTTTTCAGTTTTCCCCTAGTGTGATCTGACTCTGAGGAGCTGTGGAGATGTTACTTAAGTTAGTAGTAACTTTGCGTTTCAGGTTTAGGCAATGCTTGGGGTCTAGAGTGGCTTAAGTCTGGCTTATATGGACTCATGTTTTTGTATCTGCCTGTTTTTTTCATAGTCAGATTAGATGATGAAATATTTTTTAATGATTCATGACGTCAGTTTCATTTTAGTGAAATACAAATATACTTGTGGATGATGTACCTCCAAATATAGGTTTAAATGTTTGCTTTCCGTCACTCTCTAGCAGCCTGAGAGACCAGCTCCCTGAACTGCATCCAGGGTTGTAAAAAGAATGCTTTCAGAGTAGTAGGACTTAGGGATAACTCTTATTTGTCTGAGGGAACCAGACTCAAACACGTACTGAGGAATTTTCTTTATTTTTCTCTAGCTTCTTCCTCTTTCTTGGTTTTGTCTCCCCTTATATCCATTCCATGGAAAGTAAAAAAAGTTACATCTGAGGGCATGAGTAACCATGGCAATGCCCACATGCAGGGTTCAGGCTGTGACGTGAGGCCGGGGGCACAGTGCCCAGTGAGACAAGCTGCTGAGGAATTTTTTAGGGCGTAGGTCTTTACCAGCCAGACTTATCAAGCAGGGAACTGGCACCAATGTTGTTTTGTGTCTGGCCTTGGTTCTACAATAGACACCTGGGAATACCTTGCATATTTTCTCTGGAGGTTTATCTTAGGAAGCATTGAGTCTAGTTTGAATTTGCTCTGAGGCTCAAAATCAGCCAATTGTATGTAGCATACCTTAGAACTGAGAAGAAATTGTTGTTTTCTTTATGTAAGTCTGTGCTAGTGATAAAAAACAGGGCCTAAGTGTCTTACAGTCCTCATGGGATAATAGATCTAATTTCGAAGCAAATCCTAGTATATTTTTTACATATCAAAATTATACAGCTTAATGATGGGTCATCTTCAGGCAGTCCACAGATACAAGTGACCATAACATTGAGATGTGATCATGATATCACATGTACATATTGTATGAGATCACACATCACTGTGCAGGTATTGGGGAGACACCACAGCTGTTTTTGCTCATGTGGAATTACAGACAGAAGCAACAGTGTCATAGGCACTGGGGAGAACACCCCCAGCTGTTTTTAGGGAAGAAACATAGCGGCACATGAGAGAAATGACAGACAGACATACCTGGCTGTCAGAATTTTGGGGCCCATAAGCCTTGCTTAGTGAGATTCCTCCATCAGAGTTATTCCTCTGGAGGGTTGACACCGGAGTTATTAATTGCCGTCTGCTGTATATTCTTGTGGCCGCTGTAAAAGCCATTGACCAGCAGCTCTCCGTATCACTCTTTGTTTTTGATTAATCTTTGTCATTTAAAAGTGTAAACGTTTGTGAGTCTTTGGAGTCCAATAAAAATTTAGGCCAAATTCAAAAGATTGTTTCATAGAAAGAGTTCACATATGTATGTAGAACATACACATCAGCATACATATATATTCATAAATGTGTATATACATATATGTTTATATTATACTGGGAAGCAGATATTTTTGAAATATTATGAGGGTATGTGCAAGAGGAAAGGATAAGTTAGTGGGGGAGGGGCAAGAAGAAGAAGAAGCTCTTAGATTCTGTCTCCCCTCCCCATCCCACTCTCTGAAAGAGGGTCCTCAAGTTTGTGTTCTTGGCCAACTTCTTTGTAGGTTATGAATATGATCCCCACAACAACCCTGCAGACTTCTTCCTGGACATCATTAATGGAGGTTTCTCAGCTATATTAGACACAGAGGAAGAAGGCCATAATGGTATGTGAATCCTCTAGAGTCACAGGTTTTTGCCTAACTGATTTCATGATAACACAGTAGTGTGGTTCTTTAGATAGTAGCTTTATATGTTAATTCAGTGTCCTAAAATTAGCTAATAAGTTTTCTGTCTGTTGTGCTTGGTGTTTTATATTTAAATTATAATAGACCATTTATATGATACTGTCAGTTGTCAAGGAAATTTCTGTTAGAAAGTAAATGTACTTATTGTTTGTCATATTATTCTTGTTATTGTTTTAGATGTGGTTTGCTTATGTAGCCAGGCTGGCCTTAAATGTGTGCTCTTTCTACCTCACCTCCAAATATAGGTATTACAGGGTTATGTCATGATATCTGACTTCGTTTATAACATTTTAAAAATATGATACTTGGCAATTTATACATTTGCATATACATTCACATGCAGTAGAAAGTAGAGACCAGACTTTTATGTTACGAAGCATAGATCCATAAGGGAAGGAATACTTTGTTAAGAATTGGTATCTAGATGGGAAGAGGCCATTCAGTTTGCTCTATCCACGGGATAATGACAGTAGTCAGGTCAGTTAGGGACACTTTTCTAATCTGTTAAGGAATTACACAGGAGTAATTTTATTATGCTTAAAACGTGGTGAGTTGAAGATGTAGCTCAGCTGGTAGAGTCCTTGCCTCAGATGCACCAAACCTTGAGTTTGGTTCTTAGCACCACATAACTGGGTATGAAGTCCATGCCTGTCATCTCAGCCCTTGAGATAGACACAGGAGGACCTGGAGAAGTTAAGGTCACCCTTGGCTTAATAACAACTTTGAGGCCAGTCTAGGGTACATGAGACTGTCTCAAAGAAAAACTGGTACATAATTTATGTGTTATTCATGAAAAGTGTCTCAGAAAAATCAGTTAAATTACTGTCTGCTTCTTGTCTTTATCCACTTTTATCCCAAAGCTGACATATATACAGAACTTTCTGAGAGACGGCACCAAGTCACAGAAAAATTAGCCAACATGTATGTACAGTCCTCCTTATACAGAGAAACAAGAACTGAGCTGGATCCACTCTTGGGGGAACAGAGGGCAGGGAGGAGCTCGGCCTTGGAGGAGATCACGTGTGTCACCCCTTTCTGGAATCAGCTCAGATGGAATATCTCTCATTTACTCAAAAATTGCCTGGGTTTTCCAAAGATCACTACAATTCAGGTAATCTGATGAATTATTTTAAATGTATTATGAAAAAAATCAAGTGGAAACAATTTGTTTCTGAGTCGGTGTACTTCAGGTCACATTTATCTTCTACTCTGTTCCATGTGTTTGTCCTCTCCACTCGGCATATGTTCAATAAAGCAAGTAGAACATGATTAACTTTTTACTTACAGAAAACATTTTTAGTGTGTTTTTTTTATTTAGAGGAACTATAATGACTAATCCCAGTAGGAAATTTAATTCAGGGAAGGCAACAAGAAATTCAGCGCACCTGGAAGTTCCTCACACCTGTCTAATTCACCAGTGCATTGAACAAGCTTATGTCCATGAATGAGCAAGGGAGTCAAAAGCTTCTGTCCTGCTGCAACTTTTCATGGGGTGGATGGATGGTAACTAATAAACAGATAAAATTGTAGCATGTCAGATGAAAGAATGGACTTTGGAGAAAGTCTAAGTAGGAAGGGTGGAGGTGACTGGGGAGGGAAAGGGGGTTGATCTGTAGTTGAAATCATGGGATGAGGAAACAAGGCCATTGATCCCCTCTGAGGGAGCCTGTGCATGCACGGCCTGAGAGATGAGCCCATTGCAGAGTGCTGTTCCTTATTGGAGTCCAGGGTGAGAGCAGAAGCCACTCAGAGTGCAGTTCACACACAGATAGTGACTGGACTGAACAGTGCTCTTCCCTGTCAGCTGACTGGGAACTGGGAGGAAGTGAGGTTCTACTTTTCTTTAAACCGGCTCTGTAAGAAGGATCATCATGCCTTAAGATTTTCTGTTATTTTAACATGAATGTCACACAGAAATGTGGTTCTTCCAGCTCATTGGGCCATCACTTATTCATTCATATTTATTTCATAATGTTGATGATTCTGCTGTGTTAGTGTTTGATCCTGGGGCTTCAGCCATGAGAGTGCAATCACTCTACATCCCTGTCCCTGTAAACCAGAACTTAGAGTCAGTTCTGCTGTTAGTGAGTTGTTATTTTATTCTCAGGAATTTAGTTTCTGTTGAATACTGAGAATTCCTGTTGTTGGCTGTAATGAAACATCACTTACTTCCTAACATGTGTGCTGCCCTTTTCATATATCAGTGTTGCTTCCTTCCCAGTGTGTATGTGAATATTCTTACCATTTGAGTTATACTGTCAGTTGCTCCAGACACTTTGGCCCTATTAGTGGGTATTTAGGTTATAAAAGAGGCATTTTTATACCCATTCTTATTGAAAAAAATAAAAGATTCAATAGAATTGGAAAAAAGTGAGTTACATTCGTAAAATGGGATTACTCATTGTTCAACAGTGAGGCACAGTATCATGAGGTAAGAAGTGTGTGTGTGTGTGTGTGTGTGTGTGTGTGTGTGTGTGTGTGTGTGTCTGTGTATGTGTGTGTATTAGGAATGATAGGAATTGAGGACCATTTTTTAATTTTTTAATTAATTTTTTTATGTATGGATATTTTGCCTGCATGTATATCTATGCATCAAGTGCATGCCCATGGAGGCCAGAAGAAGGCATCAGATTCTCTGGAACTGGAGTTACAGAAGGTTGTTAGGGGTCATTTGGTTGCTGGAAGTGAAACCTTGATTTTCTGCAAGACCAGCAAGTGCTCTTAACTGCTGAGCCTTATCTCCAAACCATGGGATATTGGTTTCTAATTTACCAAATTACATGGAAGGATGCTTTCCTTAGATCATCATATTCTACTTTTAAAACATCATCCGAGGAATAACAGTTAGACTCCTTCAAATAACTTACAGCATCATGTATGTAGCCTCACTCCTTTGTTAAGTGAAGCACCTTCTAAAGCCATTTTAACCCCAAACCAAAGCAGTGCAGGTCCTTGTGACTGTCTGCACAGACCGAGTGGATGGAGGTAGATGAGGGTCTGCAGGAGTTGGCAGCTTAGATGAGACTTGAGCACAGGCCGCTCTGGCTGACGTTGGTGGAGCAGCAGTGACAGAGATGAGGGGCAATGGGGCATCAGTGACCCAGAGGACGCTGTCTGAACACTGTGATGACAGCAATAGTGCTCGTTCCCACACAGGCACAGACTTCCCAGAGGTGACACAGGTGAGGACCAGCTCCCCGCTTCTTAGCACACAAGATCCCACTGCTAGGAACTGGGTTGTGAGTCATCTTCAGTTTTGTTATTTGGTTTGCAGTTGAGGGGATCAGGGCTAGGTCTAGTGTATGCTGTGCAGGGCTCTGCCACTGAGCTGTCCCCTGGCCTGGGTTGAACTTGTTTCTAACTAAAGAGTAAAAAAAGATTGAGTTCTTTAAACCACTTGAAGTAGAAACTGCACATGTTCGCTGCACCAGAGCTGAGGTCTCAGTTTAGTGAACACTTTGTCACTTACTTTGGTTCGTCCCCAACCTCCCCAGGCACCTGCATTCTCTCCACCTGTGTCATCCATGTTTCAGAACCTGAACTGAGCCCTTCACTGGCCGTTCCTGATGGAGCACTGGGAGAGGTCTTAGTTTTTCCAGGGTCTGTACTGTCAGAGCCTCAGACTGCAGAGACCTTAATCTTCAGTTTAACATACAAGCAGTCTATTAACTTGTGTGTTTTATATTCTTACAGGGACTCTGCCAAAATATAGTGTTTACCTCACTGGAGAGATCTGATTAAGAAACCATATATATTAAGTAATGGACAATGTATAGAATACTTTCTATTCATAATGGAAATTTGTTCATTTTCCTGTTTTCTTTTGAAAGGCAGTTATCATAGCCATACTCTCTGTGATTGTGGGTACCATTTTCCATGTCCTACGAAATGATTGTAATGAAGTTCAGATCAGGTAAGCAAACTTTCATCTTGATTTTGAGAAATGCTATCACTTTGTTCAAATTTATATAAATTGATTAAGAATTGAATTTCCTAACAAGAACAGAGTAAATATTTTATCACGTGATAGAGTGTGTTGGTACATTGAAGGCTGAGTGGAAGAACTCACTTTTTAACATGTGCTTGTGTGTAGATAGTATGAAACTGTACACACCACACATTCACATTTTACCAGTTTTAGTGTGTGGAGTAGCTTCATGTTATGTGACCATCACCACACTCTAAATGTAGGGCATTTTTTCATCTTCCCAAGTGGAATCCGATAGCTCTGAAAGAAGACTCCACATACTACCCACTCCCGATTCCTGGCACCAAGCATTCTACTTTCTGTTTTTGAATATGACTAATGTAACAACCACGAATTGGAGTCTCACAAGTATCTGTTTTTGGCATTGTTTGGCTTTTGTTCTTTTTTGTTTTGGCTGGCTTGTTTCCATTGGTGTGATGTCCTCAGAGCTTCCCAAAGTGTAACACGTGTGGGGATTTCTTGGGCTCTGTAAGGCAGTATAGTAGTCCATTGTGTGTGTGCTGTGTTGTTTCCCATTCATCTGTGGCTGGAAATGTGGTTTGCTCTCACCTTTGACTTCTCTGAACCATGCTGCTGAGTGTGCAAGTACATCTGTCTGAGCTCTGGACTTTGACTCTTTAAGGTAGAAAGCTATAGTTGCCAAATCTTATGACCATTCGGTTGTTTTAGGAACTGCTGTTCTGTCTCCAACTGCACTGTACTATTTTATATCTTCAGCAGCACAATACTAGAGCCCAAATCTGTCCATATCCTTTCCCAAACTTATGTTCCTTCTTGTTTTCAATAACTTATCTAAGAAAAAATAAATCACAATTGATTGGATGTTTTGTGAATGTCTGCAATTTCCAATTTGTAATAGGAATGCTTTATTTTTATTTTAAAATTATTTATTTTTTTAGTGTGTGTATGTATATGGGCATATGTGTCCTACATACAGCATGCATGTGGAGGTCAGAGGACAATTTGTAAGAGCTGATCCCTCCACCACATGAGTTTCAGGGATTGTACTCAAGATCATCAAGCTTGGTGGCAGTCATTTTACCTGCTGAACCATCTCACTGGCCCTTAATTTTTCTTTGCTGTTGGGTTACATTTATTATTGTTTCTGACATGTCAGTCACCTACCTGTAGCTGAAGTTTTCCTGGCCCTGCTCGGCTCCTGTGACCCTATGGCCGCTTGGACCCTAATAAACACTCAGAGGCTTATATTAATTAAAACTGCTTGACCATTAGTTCAGGCTAACTATTGACTAGCTCTAACACTTAAATTAACCCATAATTCTTATTTATGTTTGGCCATGTGGCTTGGTACCTTTTCTCAGTTCTGCCTTGTCATCTTGCTTCCTCTATGTCTGGCTGGTGACTCCTGACTCAGCCTTCCTCTTCCCAGAATTCTCCTTGTTTGCTTATCCCACCTATACTTCCTGCCTGGCTACTGGCCAATCAGTGTTTTATTTATCAAACAAATCAGGCCAACACATATTCATAGCATACAGAACGACATCCCACAGTACTTCCCCTTTTCTTTCTAATCAAAAAGGAAGGTTTTAACTTTAACTTAGTAAAATTACATATAATAGAACAGTCATCAAGCAAGAATTACAGTTAACAATATTTAGTCTATTTGCATTTGGAAAAATTAAAGAAAATATTCTATCTATCCTATATTTGTGAGTCTAAAGTTTCACTATCTAATTTATCTTTTATAATAACCAAGGAAAATTATAACTATCTAGTCTTCAACTACATCAAAGACCTCAGAAGGATATAATATTACCTAAGTAAACAGGAAATGCATTGTAAGCAACTTCCAAAATTCTGGAAATGACAGAGACAGCTGCCTGCCTGGATAGTCATCCAAAGTTTCTATAATGTTGGGACATCGATCTTTAGCCCATAGGCCTAGTCTCTCAGTCATTTTTTTCTCTATGTGCTGTAGAATGTCTGGCAGTTTCTTCTATGAAGCAGGAACCTGAAGGACCATCTTGCCTTGGAAAGTTCAGTAGTCACTTTTCTATGGGTTCCGCATGTCCAGTTTATACAACATACTGTCAATCAGTCAATGCAAGGGCATTTTTTTTGCCCAGTGGTTAACTTTTGCCACAAAGAAAGCAAACTCCATCAGTTTCTTCAATGCCCATTATCTTCTCTGAAGTAGATTGGTACTGCCAGGAGCAGACAAGTCTCAATGTCCAGAAAGTCAAGGTTTTTAAAACATTTTTAATGCCATATTCTGTAGGTCTTTGAAATATTTGAAGATTACCTACCTAATTGAACTATATCTGTGTATATCTAGAAAACTTAACTAACATGACTATAAGTGTGATTATCATAAAAGACTATTTATTAATCTATATTTTTTAATTATCCATTACAATTTAAATGAGTTATATAAACATAATACCTTAAACAAGAGTAGAAATATATATGTATAGTATAATATATATATATATATATACAGTACAACAAAATTAACTTTAAATTTATAATAAGCTGAAATCTATAGCAATTTAAAATATTTTACAGAGGTTGTTGCTCTTTAAAAGTGGATTCAATATTCTACCCTTTCATCCTATTATATCCATATCCTAGCCTCCCTTTTTCTTTAGAAAGATATTGATTATGATCGATAACAATTTGTAACCAATCTTCAAACAAAGACAAATATCCATAGTCAGTTTTTAGAAATGTAGGCATAGTGTTCTAGGTTACTTCCTGATGATAGTGGGCACTGGTAGTCTTAGTGATCCTGAGAAAATTTGTGATAATGGTCAAGTCCTGGGAAGACCAGTTATAACCTTTGTTGACAGGTACCATCTGTTAAGGTTCAGGAGGTCTGGCTTTATCAAATCCGATCCATCTTAACCTAGAACAAATCCATAGCCTCTTGCTTTCTATGGAAACAAAAGCAGAGCCTCCTTTCCAAAGCAACATATCCTTAGATTCAAATTTTGAAGTCATGATCCCTTTAAAATATACATGTTGGTTTAACTGAGCAGCCTTTATAATTAAATGTCTTTCTGCAGTTCAAAATCCCAAAGACAATATAATCCAGACTCTCTGTGTGATTTCCATCTTTACATGGCTTATTTTTATATTGCTTTTACTTTCTCTTTAAAGACTTTATTTTTTAAAACTTTCTATTTCTTTATATAACTGTCTATATTCCTTTTCCTCTCTATTCCAAGCCTACATACATTTTTTACACACACTGTAAACTGTTTAAGGTTTATCCCATCTGAATCTGTCTTATTGTGAATCTATTGCTTTAAACTGCAGGACTCTGCCCATCTTAGCTTTTCAACATGGTAGAGGTAATTCACCACCAGCTCTGGGAGCCATGCTTTCTGCTGACTCTGGGAGGCAGTGGGTCCATGCCTCCATCCAGCAGCGTGTAGCCCAGAAACATTTTCTTCTTTGGTTTCTTTTCTTTTTTTCTTTTTTTTTAACTAGTAAAAGCTAAATCCACTATGCAGTATACTGCATGGTTTGGAGACACCACTGTGTACCGTGGCAGGAACCTGCCATGCTGCTTGGCTTATAGTGACTGGAGGCCAACTCCATCTCACAGCCAGCTGTCAGGAGTGGAGTTTTCACTGCTATTGGCATGAGACTGTGAGACTAGGAAGCCTAGTGTGACTTTGTTTCTGTGCATTCAGAATTTTTAAGCTTTCTTAGGTCTATGTGGTTCAACGCCCAACAGTGGGCGCCAAATGTATTTGGAAGTTTTTCTGTGTCCCAGCCGACTTGCAGTTGGGACAGATTTTTCCCACTTGTGTCCCCCAAGTAAACACACAGAGGCTTATATTAATTAAAACTGCTTGACCATTAGTTCAGGCTAACAATTGACTAGCTCTTATACTTAAATTAACCCATAATTCTTATTTATGTTTGGCCATGTGGCTTGGTACCTTTTCTCAGTTCTGCCTTGTCATCTTGCTTCCTCTATGTCTGGCTGGTAACTCCTGACTCAGCCTTCCTCTTCCCAGAGTTCTCCTTGTTTGCATATCCCACCTATATTTCCTGCCTGGCTACTGGCCAATCAGTGTTTTATTTATCAACCAAATCAGAGCAACACATATTCACAGCATACAGAATGACATCCCACACAGAAGAATTTAAAGGTGAACCCATCTCAGCATTGAATTGTATGGTTACAGAAAAAAAGCCTAAGGTTCCCAGACTGCTGTGGGATGTTCTGTATGTTAAATGTGTTGCTCTGATTGGTTAATAAATCAGACACTGATTGGCCAGTAGCCAGGCAGGAAGTATAGGCAGGACAAGGAGAGAGGAGAATTCTGGGAAGTGGAAGGCTGAGGCAGAGAGACACTGCCAGCCGCTGCCATGAGAAGATGTTAAGATACTGGTAAGCCACGAGCCACATGGCAACTTATAGATTAATAGAAATGGGTTGATTTAAGATATCAGAACAGTTAGCAAGAACTGCTACAGCCATACAGTTTATAAGTAATATAAATCTCTGTGTGTTTAGTTGGTTGGGTTTGAGCAGCTGTGGGACTGGCGGGTAAGAGAGATTTGTCCTGACTGTGGGCCAGGCAAAAACTCTAGCTACACCAAACAGCAAACATTAATCTACCTGATAACCTTACAGGAACTGCCAAATGCTCTCTCAGTTTCAGCTGATAATTCTCTTGGACTATATAAGTCCTTGTCACCCTCTAAAGTTTTGAACAAATTATTCAGTTCAATAGTCCATAGATGGGAAATGTCTCTGAATTATTTTTGAAAGTCATTAAGAGTCTGTAATGGATCTCTCCTATTGTGCACCTTTTGGGGTCTAATTTTTTGTAGACCTATTTTATATCCTAAATAATTAATAGAATCTCTCCTCTCTCTCTCTCTCTATATATATATATATATCTATAGATATATATAGATATATATATACCCTCAAGATATTATAT